ACACCAAATTTTTGCCAAAACTTGGTTAACACTAGGCCCCAAAGAATTTCAGCCGTAATAAAAAATAAAGGTGATGTTACCCAGTGGTAATCTTTCAACTGTTGCTTTGTTAACTTCGCGCATTTATTCGCACATTGTTTATTTGTTCAGATGTTCTATTAGTTATAAGTCAAAGTGATTTCAAATATGTATTTGTGTATCTAAAACGTTTTCGAGAAAATAAATTGTTTTAGAAGTAAATAGTTTCGTCACGTTTAGTTTATAAAGGCATATTTTGGTACAAATCTTGATGTGGGCCAACTGAAGTGGGAAGGGGCTCGTATATCTGAGGTATACAGGGTGTTTCAAATTCGACCTTCACTATTGGGATCTCGGAAGCAGTAAGAAATGGATGATCAGAGTGAGTTGGATGTCATATACATTCAAAAGGCCTTTGATCAAATTGATCATTACTTGTTATTAACTAAGCTCGAATCTGCGGGCTTGTCTGACCCTTTACTGCTTCTCGTAAAGTCATATATCCTGGAAAGGTACGTGGAATATTGCGGCTATCAATCAAAGACTTATACAGCAACATCAGGTGTACCTCAGGGGTCCAATTTAGGACCTTTGTTGTTCATAATCTTCATTAGTGATTTATCGCTGTCTTTGCTATGCCTGCATCTACTATACTTTATGCTAATGCTTTGAAAATATGTTCTGTTTTCAATAACCTCAATGACTGCATTGTGTTGCAAAACTACGTGAGCTTTATCTACTCATGCTGCTCTAATAATACACTTAATATTAATATTTCAAAATCTAAGGTTATGTCATCTTCTAGAAAACTACATACTATAGTATACGATAATTATAACATTGATGGCAACCTGCTAGAGCGAACCTCGGCTTTCAAGGATTTGGGTGTCGTGTTTGACAGTATACTAAAATGTAATGACCACATCCTCCATTATGGTGAATGCAACATATAAATCATTACGCTATTTCGTCAGAAATTGGTCGGGCTTCGCTGATATCGCAACATTAAAACTCCTGTATTTTACTTTTATTAGGAGTAAGCTGTAGCACGCATCTATGATCTGGTCTCCTACATATCAAACCTACATAGCGAGCATTCAGTGCGTGCAGCGTAAGGCACTTAGATATTTTTAAGTGTCACGGTCACTACCCTGAAGGAGGTTTTGATCATTCGGCGCTGTTAAGAATGTTAAGTTGATCCGTTACAGCTACAGCGCGATTTATCGGCGCTAAGATTATTATATAAAGTACTAAACAATCAAATTGATTGCCCGTTAATATTAAACAAATTAAGTTTCGCGTCCCTAGGTTAGGCAGCCGGTGTCAGATTTTGTTTTACCCTGACATTTGTAATACAAACATCGGGTGTATATCTCCGTTATACTATACGTGTAAATGTTTCAATGATCAGGACTCCTTCTGAAGATGCCAACCACTCGTGTTGACGAAACTTCAAATAAGAATACTTTACGATGGCCTAACTACCCAAAAACCGACCAAATAACATTGTCGCGAAAATCATTCGCATTTCATTGTATACATTTGCTGTTGTTAAATTATTGACTTACTTTCGTTGTTGACATATTTCCTGTAATTGTGTGTAACCTGCTGGGAATTATAAATAAATAAGTAAATACGAAGTCGCTTAAATAAGGTAACAAAGTTGTGTATTTAGGTAATTAATAAAATGCCTCTTAGAGAGGTTCGAAATTCAAAGTGCAAAGACGGAAAAAATCTACAAAATCGTATTAGTTTTTTTCCTGAATTTCTTTGTAGTGGAATTTTAAAATAAATTGCACATTAACATGGGCACTTTTCCTCCTCTGCAAGATGGCATAATCAGAATTCCAATATGGCGTTTCTTCTCTTGTGATCCATCAACTTTATTTTTGCTTATGGATTCTTGCGCAGATGAATAGAGCTGCAATTCCGATTCCAAAAATGTAAAATTCGTCATACATTGATATTGCCAAATCTTAGATATTTCAAAAAATCAGAAGGTCCTAGGTAGGCCTTGAAATTATCAGATACCCATTTGTTTCCGATACCAGATTTATCCTTAAATTATTTTTATTCTTTCTTGGCCTTATTTGAGATTGAATTTTAAGATGAATTGCATATCATCATTTTTACTTATTCTCCTCTGCAATATGGCGTAGTCAAATTTACAATTCGACGTTTCTTCCTTGGACATCCATCATCAACTTTGGTTTTTTATATGAACACGATATTGCAATTTTGTACATTTAAATTGACTTTTCAGTCATAAATTCAGTGAGTACATAAATGGTCCTAAATTCAGTGATGCATTTCCTTAGCTGGTTTGAATTTGTAATTTGATAAAAATTATAAGGAAATAAAAAGGTATGTTGAAACTTGAACACAAAATCAAAATTTTATTGATGGTAATAACAATAACAATCATTAATGAGCAGAGGTAAACCATAGCATATGTTCAAAATGTTGTCTGTTGTTTTGTAGGCAAAGTCTGACTTTTCCCTGCAGATTAATCACTGCTCGATTTATTTCTCTTCTTCTCAGTCTTCCAAGCTATGTTGCCGCGTTTAACTCGCGGTCTGGTCTGGCAATAGCCAGGAACAAGAAAAAGGATTTTTAGTAAATTCGGCTTTTTTCACTCTCTATTCGGAAGTACTTTAGATTACGAAACTTCCTATGCGGTATTTTGTTGATTACCTAAATACGCAGCTTTACCCCTAAGCGACTTCGTATCTCTTACAGTTTTCGAGATCCCAATGTGTGTGTGTATATCCCGGTCGTGCGCTGCAGTAGTTTCGTAGTGACTAAGCTATATCTGCTACAGTTATAGCCAAATTACAACAAAAGGGTGCCCATGTAGAGACTTCATAACGTTTAACTTGAAAACCTACGCTTTTTGAAGTGTATAGTACTCATTAAAACACCTATTTTGCATATTGAACACTTTATTTCCCTACAAAATTAATTTAAGGTATATACAGGGTAACCACATTACGCAGTAATGTATGGCATTGAGAAAGAAATAGGTCTAGTACATGAAGCTACCATATAAATGGTATCTTACAATACTGTCATGTAAAACCGTCATACAATTCATACCTGTCTGGCCAGACATCGAATTTAACTACATCTACTAAGATCACATTTTTAGAAGGTACAACATTTTTTTTTTGTTTTTTTCTTCATGCTCATCCGACATCATGGCGAAGACAGGCTATCTTGAATCATCCTAACGACGGAAGTGATGTGGACTCTTCTTGAAGAACTTGCTGGATTCACTCTCTCCTTCGCCTCCATGAGACGCGAAGTCTTTGGTAAAGCCGTAAGCTGCTGCGTTTTCGGCGAACTTATCTCCAGAGTACTTATCCTGGCCAGCATGTTCTTTCTTGTTGGCAGCAGAGTTCTCGTAGAAACCCTCTTTTCCGTTCTTTCCAACGGCGAATTTTCCAGCTTCCTCTCCTCCCTTGTACGAGGATCCAGAAGTGTGTCCAAATCTGCCTTTGTGCCCCCCGAAGTCGTAGTGTCCTCCTTCGTTGTGCGCCTCGTCGTAGAATTGCTCTTCCTTGCCAGTTTCGTCCAAATGGTGGGACTTCTTGAAACCCTTGATGGAGTGTCCTTTTCTGTGACCTTGTTTGGCGTGGTGTTTTTCTCCAACTTCGCCTAAAAACATAGAGGTCGTGAGCTTAGATTTGTTATGTTACTTTTTGAAGTTCCAATTCCATTTTAAAGCCGAGAAATGTAGATCATTCAGAATTTTTACATCTCACCTCATCGATGCTTTCAAGTGACTAAGGTTCGCAACAAGTTTTTACTGCCCTAAAAATAACTACAACTATAATAACTATATTTCAGGACATGTGTTGTAAGCTACCATCAACATTTTCATTTTTATTTTATTGCGCGAATGTCTTTGAAGTCCCAAATTTCGCATTTTCTGCATCTTTGTCCAAAACTCACGCCCAAAAAAGTATAATTTAGAATGATTGTATATTCATGTGTTTCAACTATTTTCATAGATTTGTACTGGAAAGTGTTGCGACAATGCGCTCATATGAAATGAAAATAGAAGACGGAAAAGTTATAGACAAAAACGCTAAAATTGCAAACCTTGTACTTTAGAAAAAAAATCAAGTAAACCAAAAAAGAAAATATTGATGACGATCTAAAATACATATGTCCCGAAGGATTCAATTGCAAAAATTTCATGTTGCTGACTTAAAATTGGAGTTTTTTCCGAAATTAGAAAACCAATTAGTGGGCTCTTATTATGAGTTTTAAACCAGTAAAGACTATCTAATTTCTTTGAATTGATGATTACAGGATAGGCAGATTGCTAATGGAAATAAGTAACATCAAAATTCTTTTGCGTCTTGAAATATTAAGGAAATATGCTGCCTCAAATTTAGGCGGTCCCAATACCTTTGCCTCATGTGTGTTTTTACTCATTTGTTTCCAGTATAAAAGCTATCGGAATGAAACTATTTCTGGAGCCTTCGTTTTTCTATGGAAAATCAAGTATAGAAGCACTTTTTCATCGTTTAAATGGAACGTCCTATATATTGAGGCGTACAATTTTAAACTAAATAATAATAATGCGTTTATATCCCAATAGTGATTACCATTTACAGAGCAAGAAGCAGTAGTACCGCTTACAAAATGAAAATATCTTGTAAAAACAAAAAAAATACAGAAATAGAAGAAACATGAAAAACTTGACCAAAACCCATCATAGATGGGCTCGAGATTTATTCTTTAATTCACAGACACTGCGGTGAGAAATATCACATACAATTGAAATTTTCTTGGCATTTCGGCACATAAAATTAATCGGAGCCTTCGATAGTAAGTTAGTTTGAGCTCTTTTGCACAGGAAAGTATTTTCTACTTGAGCTAACAATACAGGACAATCTACTTTTCCATTGAAAAGCTTGTGCAAGAAAAGTACAGATAGATTTTAAAAGCTGTGAATTTCAAAAATTTCTTTTGTGCTTTTTCAATAGCCACGAGTATTGGCTATATATAGGAGTCATAAAATGACTGATATCACGTACAAATTAGTTTGTTGGTCAGTCCTTGTCTAAAAAACAACAACAAGATTCGGTATAGAGTTTTGTATGGAAACATTCCTGTAGCCTGTATCTTTTGATCCCAAAAAACGGATCCAATTCTACAAAATGCTTCACTGAAAAAACTCGAGCTTACTCAAATATTTTGACACAATGTTGCACAGCATATATTTCAAGAGCATAGACCTATGAGCTCTTGAAGTTTCGCCAAAGTAGTGTATCAATAACTGCGAAAACTTTGAATGTTTGTGTTATCAATATTTCTCTTCAAAAAGACACAAGCGTATGTCAAATATTAGAGGACTGTATAGGACATTTCATTTAAAGAAGAAACACATTTAGGCTGTGACCTCAGAAGTTATATAAAACAATTAAAATATATTGTTTCTATAAAATGTTGGGCTGAAAGTAAAGCTTTATTCGCATCCTAATAAGTGATGCATTGTTCATGCAACTCTTTACAGAGAGCTATTTGATCTTTCCTTGCTTGGCCATTCTTGCTCATAACTTCTTTTTCATTTTGGTTACTTCAGAAAAGCTACTGTGGTAGCCTAAATGTTATTTTTTTCTATGAGTGGTTTTATTAATTGGTCAGACTGATGTAGATTCATTAGAGAGACAACCATTAGAATAAGTTTCACACTAAGCCTTATGTGCTGATGGATGGATAAAAACATACACTGTAAGGTCAAAAAGTTTCACGAAGATTTCTTGAAGCTTCCAAGAATCCCCAACATTTTGGAGAGAATGGCTAAGCAATACATTGGAGCTCACAACAAGGAGCAAGACAGAGGCTTTCATTAAGAGCAAGCGAAAGGAAGCAAATCATCTTATGGAAGAACCTGTTGCTAATCTGGACAAGTATCCTGGAGATACGTTAGACAATACCACTGCCACTTCATCGGAGATATGTCATTCCAAGGAAAAGAAGGGAAAGCACAATCAGTAGCCTTTCACACCATATACCATTTCTTCACCAATAAGTAAACTTTGTGCAGATGTCGTGCGAGCGAGTAGTGCAAACTGTGCAATATTCTTAATCATATACTTAATTACGTCCTTTCACTTTTTAGTTCGACTCTTATGTTTTGTATATACTTCTTGGGAGGCGAGGTACACTAACTACTAAGTACAAAGCTGTAACTGCAATAACTAACATTTTATTCTCCTACAAAATTAAATAAACGTATTTACAACGTATCAACATTACGTGGTAATGTATGGCATGTGAGAATGTTACAAGAAAAGTCTGATACATTTCCCCACCATGCATCATAACAGGTCAACAACATATGGTCATCCGTCCGTCAAATCAGATGACTTCGTCCAAACATCGGATCACTACTCTACTAGATCACATTTTCGATATAAATATTTTTTTTTGATTTTCTTATGCTCGTCCGACATCAGTACAAAGATCACCTAGAGTAAGAGGGGCTTAATGGTGGAAGTACGGGCTCTTCTCGAATGACTTGCTGTGTTCGCTTTCTCCTTCTCCTCCATGGGATGAGAAGTCTTTTTCGAAACCGTAGGCGGCAGCGTTTTCAGCGAACTTATCTCCGGAGTATTTGTCTTGACCAGCGTGCTCTTTCTTGTTGGCAGCAGAGTTCTCGTAGAAGCCTTCTTTGCCCTTCTTTCCGAAGGCGAATTTGCCTCCTTCCTCTCCTCCCTTGTAAGAGGCTCCAGAAAGATGTCCGAATTTGCCGTTGTGGCCTCCGAATTCGTAGTTTCCGCCCTCGTTGTGAGCTTGGTCGTAGAACTGCTCTTCTTTGCCATTTTCGTCCAAATGATGGGATTTCTTGAATCCCTTCACGGAATGACCCTTCTTGTGGCCAGTTTTGGCGTGATGTTTGCCCCCAGTCTCACCTACAATCCAACAAAATCGAGTTAATGTTTCCGTACATCTTAAAGTATGCCATTTTCCTATCGGGAAGCAGGTGTCTGGCTGGTTGGTTTAGCGGACCTAGAGTGTAGCGGCATCTTGACGAAGAGCTCATAGGAGCGATTTGCGACGGAATCAAGACATAGATTCGAAAGATCAGCTACCAGCCATTGGTGAGAAATTGGTTTGAGATTATGGGTTGGTATTAGTTAGAAGGCAAGAAACAGAAAGGAAGATAAACTCGATAGGCTAAAACATAGTACAAGTAGAATTCAGCAAGTAATTAAGATGGTTAGGGATACAGAATTAACAGTAATGGGAGCCTTGAAACCGAGCTTTGTAAACTTTTGGATCAATATATCAAGCTGAAAGCGTCCTTACTTGATCTTTACTGTGACCGAGAGCGAAGACTGGACTTCTGCGATGATCTTTACCATCGGTTAATGTATTCTACCTGAGATTCCCAGTTCAAATAGGGATTAGTGAGACTTAATCAAACATTCTAACTCGCTTGAAAGTACTTTTCCAAATGCATTTTTGTCTCCTTCCACTGTCGGTTAGATAGCTCTAGCATCTTCCAGATCTTTCTTTGACATGCTAAGCCATAGTTCCAGTTCTTTGACACATAATACCCACAGCTTGACCATACGAATCTCCTGTCTTTGGAGTGACACCAAAGGGCATGCTTCATGCTTTTACTCACCTTCTTTCTCTACCTTTTCTCCGCCATGGTAATGTTTACCCTTCTGGAAGTGTTCGTTACCACCCTCAGCCTCCTGGAAGTATCCCTTACCACCCTTAGCACCACCCTGTTGGATCTTTCCAATGAAGTACCTGCAATCCAAAAACGATTCATTTCTTAGATAAAAATGTCTGTGAATCAACTTGGGAAAATGCAACTCAAGGAACTGATAGTGCGTCTTTTTCCAAGATCTACTGTGCTCATATGCCCAAGAGTGTTCTACATACCCTGAATCTCCAGCTGAGGCCTTGTCCCCGCTTGATCCATGTTTCTTCTGGAACTGTTCTTCGGCGAATTTCTTCTGGGCCTCGCTGAATTGGCTCTTCTCTAGCTCACCGCCTCCAATAGGCTGCTGCTTGATGTAGATGGGCTGGACATGGACAGGCTGGTGATGAGGAATGTTTATTGGTTGCTGGGGAAAGTGGATGGGTTGTTGAGGAATGTGGATCGGCTGTTGGGAAAAGTGAATGGGCCTGAAAGGAAGAAGAATAGATTGAATAAGGAGTGAAAAATATGCATCTAATCTGATTAAGCGATTATATAGACAGGAAGAAGAAATACTAAAAAAATAGGTAGACGATTTGCCAGATTCCTTTCATGGCGCATCCATTCATGTCAAAACAAACCAGAATCAGATGAGCCAGATTTCATTCAGAGGTTTTTCTGAAGAAGCTCAAATACGAACTAAAGGCTTTTCAGAACAAAAAGGGTATCGGCATGCGCTAGAGTGGCGAAGAATAGCGACTTTTCCTGGTTCATTTACTCGCGTTGACAGTATATTTTAAAAAGTAACACTTCCAGAGCCAGAACGAAAAGGACTTTTCATTAGTTTTGTGTACACACAAATGTACCTATTTTTAAACTGAAACTGGAACAATCCGCCGTAAATAAAAAAAATGAAAGATAAATTAGAAATTAGAAGTGTTTCTGGCACAGTAGCTCATAGAAATTCAAGATTCGACTTATTGTATTATGAGAAGTCATTGCTTTTAATGACCTCTCAGTTACTTATCACACCCTCTCATCCTCCTAAAATCCATATTTATCCCCAAAAATTTTATTACTTCATTTATACGTGGTGCAGCCATAGATGGACGGTATAGACACAAAGACAATTGAAGAAAACTAATAATCGATTACTATGGACACATTTTTAACATATTCACAATTCTCAAACCATTCATCAAAATACATTTGTTAGATGGACTTAAAAAAATTATGGATTTGCCCTTTTAAGAGATTGACATATTTATGAGTATGGATGCATCAAGCAGTTTTATTGCTCCGCAAAAGTTATTTTAAAAAAACTAATCATCACAAAATTGAGGCTTTCTTTAAACTAGATATTTAACGCCCACAATTGCAACAGTTCAAAACACTATTAAGATTTTGGAGCTAAATAAATTGATGATAAAAGGCAGAACTACACCGAAATGAGAAAAACAATATTAGGAAAGGAGATAAGTTCGATTTGAATTCTATTTAAAATTTGCGTCAAAGCTCAAAAATGAAATTTTCAAAATCAAGCAACTGAATTTTAATAATGGGTAATCCAGCATTTTAACCGTCGCCACTGACAAGGTAATTCCAAAAAGCTTGAGTCCAAATTGAATTAAAGAAATAAAAATTTTCCTCAAGGTAATTCGTAAGAATTTGTGTAAAACTGGAAAATTTGGAATTGATTGTTATAGCTTCAGCAGGTAATTCAGAAGATTTTTCCACTAGAAAAGCAGCTTCCAAAATATGCATTTTAAATCAAGTTTTACTTACGCGTGGTGTCCAAAACCTCCTTCAAATCCATGTCCGAATCCAAGTCCTGCAGCCTTGGGAATATCGATCTCTCCAGGTCCGAGCTCGAACACCTTGGTGATGCCTTCGAACTTGGGCTCTTCGCCAAGCCCTCCATATCCTCCGTAATGCGATATCTTGCCTACACCATGGGAGAAGTCGTGCTGTTGGAACTCCGCAGGGTGGTGAAACTCTCCGGCACCTCCCAGACCCAACTCAGGGGAGACGAATTTGGAAGTTGCAAGCTGCGCAAGCAGGCCGAAGCTACAGATCAGTCTAAACATGGTGTTGGAAGGCGTGAGAACCGATACTGACCACCGTTAGACCGATTTTACTATTTATACTAGGAAAATTGAGTTGATTAGTAATGTGACCTTAAAGGTTGACGGGGAGGGAAAAAACTGTTACATTTACATTTTAAGATGACGAATGTATTTTAGCGCGTTGTTAATATGGTTCACTGTTTGGTAGTGGTTAAAAAGTAGCAATTTCATGGTGAATTAAACTTAAGACGTAGAGTATTTGAACGGTCGGTGGTACAGCATGTGTAGACATAGTCCGGGTAGCGATTTTGGTTTGCAAAATCGATTCCGGTAATATACGCATGACAGACCTCGAAATTCTTATCTGTTAACCACTTTCGATCCTCGGTGTTAAGAACTTAATTTGATAACTCCTGTCCATCCTACGGGAAACCATCATGGTGATACTGAGTGGATGAGATCCAGACAAAGTGAACAGCATTCTCCTATTATTACAGAAATGCTGATTACCACAGAAACGAGAAATATGTTCAAGAACCAAACGGTATAACAGAATACAGACAGATACAAATTATCCACTTTGTTCTGACCGCCCGATCAAGTAAATACAGGGTGGGCCAAAAAAAGCTGACCTATTTCAAACTTTAATAACCTTTATATTTATTAATATTTTTTAATGTAGTTTTTACAAAAATAAAATATATTTATTGGAGTTTTTTTTTCGTATTAAGTATGAAAAATAATGTCGCGTAAGTGACGGCCATTTTCTTTTTCACACATAACATTCCTTTCCAAGACATTGTCCATAACTGCCTCCAATGTTTCCCGATTTATGGCTCGAATTTCCATTATGATATTGTCTTAAGGTTCGAGGTTTATTGCGGTAAACTCTTTTTTTCAAATATCCCCATAGATAAGAATCTGGCGCGGTTAAATCAGGGGAACGTGGGGGATATTCAGTTGCCGATCTTTTTGAAATCAGACGTTCTCCAAAGAAGCCTCTTAGCAATGCCATTGTGGCTCCAGCTGTATGCGCTGTGGCTCCATCCTGTTGGAACCACATAGCAGGTCTATTTTCAAGCGCTGGAATCAAAAAATTTTCAAGCATAGCTCTATACCTGTCGCCAGTAACAGTCACCGCAGTTCCATCGTCATTTTGAAAGAAATAACGCCCAATAATACCCTGGGTGGTAACACCACCAAATTATTAGACGATTTAAAAAAATTTCTTCTTATTTGCAGTGGTATTTCAAAATAAATTGCACATTAGCATTGCGACTAGTTCTCCTCGACAAGCTGACATAATTAGAAATTTGATATGTCCTCCAGCATCAACTTTATTTTTTCTCATAGTCGCCACAATGAAGTTTTGCGCACACGAGTAGAGTTTTTAATTCTGATTCCAAATATGTGTAATACGTCATAAGTTAGCATTGGCAAACCTCAGTTAGTCCAGAAATACAGGAGTTCCTAGGAAGGCCTTGAAATTATCAGATTTCATTTGTTTCGTATAGCAGACCAAATTTCGGATTGAACATAGCAACAGAGTTTGGAAGACTGAGAAGAAGAGAAATAAGTCGAGCAGTGAACGTTGTACGAACAAGAAACACGCTTTGCCTACAAAATAGCGGATAATATTTTGAACATCTGCTATGATTTACCTCTGCTCATTCATGATTATTATTGTTATTACCATCAATAAAATTTTCATTTTGTGTTCAAGTTTCACCATACCTTGTTACTTCCTTATAACTTTCATCCAATTTCAAATGCATGACTAACTAAGGAAATACATCACTAAATTTAGGACTGAAAAGAGCATTTAATGTACAAAATTCCAATACAGCATGCATATGAAAATACAAAGTTGGCGATGGTTTTTTGAAATAACTAGGGTAATAAATAATAAGTAACGTGTTATTCATTTTTCAACAAGAGACGAAACGCCATATCGAATTTCTAATTATACCTTCTGATAGAGGAGAAAAAGTGGCAATGTTATTGTGCAATTTATTGTGGAAACCCACTACAAATAAAGTTAGGAAAAAAATTGAAAGATTTTGGGAAAATTAGATATGTTCCGTCTCTTTTCGCAAAATTTCTAAGCGGCGTTTTGTTGATTACCTAAATACGCAACTTTGCCCAATTTAAGAGCCTCCAGATCTATTACAGGTTCAGAGATCCCAATGATAAATGGATTCAAACATGATGATGTTGCTTTATGGGTTCAATTATACCAAAAAAAAATTAATAAGTGTGAAAATAATACGTCAAAAAGAACATACATAGGTCTACAAAGTTTATCTTTTATGTTCCCTCCTCCGATGGTTGTATTATTTTGTATAGTATCTATGTATGCAAAATCAAAATACAGATATATTCATTGAAGTTATGCATATTTAAGAATTTTTTAACCATCTTTATGAAAAAATTAGTGAATGTAAAACAAAATTACATCTGAAAGACCAGCAATAGTAGTCCAAGAGACAAACTAAATCGAAAACGCTCATCTTTAACTTTTTCTAGTTACTTAATTCAAATTTCTGTTCAAGCTGTTTCTTTTACATTTTCTCTCTGGTTCCATCCTGTCTTGTATCCAGCAGTGATCGGTTGTCGTATTTGTGTCCTAACTTTCTTGGTACCTGATCTCTTTAACCTTAGTTAATACCTTGATGGAAGCACTCACCTTGTCCTGAACTTACGACACAAGGATTGTCAGGTCAACGGTCAATATGAGAATGTAGAAGATGCAAGCCTGTTATACTGACATTACAACTCAGTTTAGTCAAATTGCGGAGCTATATTTTCCTATGATCTGTTAGCGTCTTGCATTAATTTCCTATGAGAGAGCCAACAAAAATGTAATCTTTGATCCCTAGCCCCTAGCCGAACTTCTGTTTTGCCGTTTTTGCTCAAAATAACTTGCGTAAAAAACAAAAAAGGACTTCCAAAATCTACCAAAAGTTTTATGTCGACCTCACCCTAAATGGACCAATTTTAAGCGCCCAGCTCTATTTTTTTCGCTGTTTCAATTATTAACAGACCGTTATAGTAGAAATACTGAAAAAAGAATCGATTTGTCAAATGATGCTGATGAAAGGCCGAAGTCGGGTCTGTCTGGCAGGCCCATCGCGCGGCGGCATCATGGAGGAGAGCTCTGAGGAGCAAAGCCCGTTGACAGCTTGAAGAGAGCTAGATCGCCGACAACCCGTCGATGAGAAATGGTCCCGAGACTCTCCGTTAGAGAAGTGATGTCAGCAGTACTCGAGGCTAGGTTTGCAGAGTGAGGAGGTTATGTAGGAAAAGTAGAGCATAGCTTTGTCCTTCCAGCTGCCGCTATTGACGAGTTGTGCTTGTGCCAGATCAAGTCCTCGGTGATCTGACTTCGATTCTCCTAAATGAACGGCTCTTTGGTAAAACTCGTCTTGTTAGTCATGGGACACTGTGTCTTGGGGGCATTAAGCTGTACCAGACTGTTGCGTACCCAAACAATGATAACCTCCAGGCCTTTCTTCAGAGAAGAAGTCGCTACTAGTCTTCTTGTCTTCAGCTCAGCGACTTATCTCTCTATATCTACGCATGTACAGTGCTGTTATCACTAAAGTTGTAGATTCGATTGATCGCGCAGGAAATAATGTCGTTGATATATAAGAGGAACAATGAAGGGGATAATACCGATTACAAAATCAGTCTTTTTCTTGAAAAAAAATACGCAATTACTGTTTGGTAGTCAAAAATAACCACCGATTATCATACACTTTACTCCTTCTTGTCGATAGTGCTGATAGTTTAGATGTAACGGACGAAATTAGCTTTGCCCGGGTTTCCTCTAGCCAATATCTCCAAAATACCTATATTTTCCTGTTTTCTATTTTAAATTCTTGGTATCAAAGAGTTCTGAAGTAGTACCCATAGAGGCGATTTACCTCTGAAGAACACCGTACCAGTTGCCAGCCTTGCGCAACTTTTTTTTAAATTCTTGGTTGCGGTTAAATGTATTACTAGTAATTATCCTGTTGTAGTTTTGTACGCGGAACTACGTTTTTTCCTAGATTCGTCAGTTGTACATTTTGTGAGGCAGGGTAATATTGCGAAGTAACTGAATATAGAGTTAGAGTATCTGTAATTCTGATCTTAGCTTGCATCATTATGCGATTTTTAGTTTTAAACTAAAAAATACTCACAGATTATTAGAATTATTAGTTCTTGATTGATTTCTTGACATGCTTTTAAAAACATCTCAAAAATATACAAGATCTTCTTTCCAACTCGGTAAATCTGATAAAGGACCTCAGTATCAGTTTATCAGTATTTTGTGTATAACTTGTGAGATTTTTCAAGGGGAGACTTGGTTCACGTTGAATGCACATCCAGTACCTGGGCTTTCAATCCAACGTTTTTTTGTTATGCTCATGACCTGGAGCGCCAGATATTCATCACAATTGACCAGTTCTCTTCACCGGACCACAATGTTAACGCAAGGGCTCCCCAGGGATCGGTCTTGGATCCAACATTGCTTATATTTTATTTCAGTCGTATTTGTATGCTGATCGCAAACTACATGTTGATTTTAACGGTGGTAAATCAGTTCACTTTTTTCCATCTACTGGCGTTCCACAAGGATCTTCCTTAGGTCCACTACTATTCGTCAATTTTATTAAGTTAATACGATTGACTGCAATATTCTGCTCTACGCGGACGACGTAAAACTGTACTGGCAAATTGATGATCCATCTAGTTGCTTTTATTTACAAAGGAATCTTGACAGACTGTGTGAGTGGTGTGCTGCTAATAAACTTCCCATCAACGTGAGCAAATGTAAATCTTTAACTTTCACTGGGAGAGTAAATTCAATTACCAATAGTTATAAAATTAACAACACGCCTCTTCAGACTTTAGAGGAGTTCAGGGACCTAGGAGTAATATTTGACAGGACATTGAGCTTCAGTGCACACCTAACTAATTTAGTGAATTCTGCCAACAAAGCACTGGGATTCGTTATACGCAATTCAAGAGAGTTTACCGGTACCACAGCACCTACAGTGCTGTACTATTCGTTTGTTCTTTCTAAGCTGGAATACGGAAGGATAATCTGGAACCCATGCTATG